CCGCCGTAGGTGCAGGCCGGGAGCTGGGCTGGACGCGGCGCGCGGCGGCGGCGCCCCAGCGCAGTTTGTTCCCGGTTCGCGGGAGATCGGGGATGTTCATCCGAGTCCCCACCTTTCCATCCCAAGTCCCTGGATGAGACATGTAGCCTTCCCGACCCCCGCTTGTCTCCTCTGTGGAGTGCGGATAGTGACAGTACCCACTTCACACGGCTACTGAGGAGGTGTGCCGGCAAAGCGTTGCCATCTAGGAGCTGCCCGTTCTCGGTTTCCGGGACCTTTGCGGTCTCCGGAGAAGGGTTTCGAGCTATTTCTGTTCGTACACCCAGCTTACTGCGGCAGTCCAGTAGAAAAGGAAATGTGTTATCACCTCTCTAATGAATCCAAATCTTTTCCTCTCACTTTACTTTCCCTGAATAGTGGCCAAGAGGCTGAATCTAAGGAGCAGCGAGGTCGATCCCACCAAGAAACCTGTGGGGTAAGAAGGGAGATCCCTACGGAAGGCGTCCCAGGAGTGCTGTCCGGCCTCTCACACCTAGCACAAGTCATCGTTCTTGAGCTTCACCTTGGTCGGTGGGCCAGAGAGAAGGTGGGCGAATCAGAGCTGCCTGGGGTTTTGCTTAGAGACCAGTGTTCCTAACTGTTTTGCTCATGTTTGGTTTGTGTGCCAGGGGTTGTGGGAGAAATTAGGAAGTCTGTACCTCACTGCAAGGTCATGTGCAATCAAGCTGTCCTGAGCACCCTCTGGTGTGGTTCCAGGCCCGACAAGGAACCAAGGCCTGACCTCTGCAGACCTGGTCTTGGCAGGAGCCTACATTCCAGATGCTGCTACTGCAAGGTCACACTGATCCAGGGAGTAGTAGACAATGACGCAGAGTACTGAGAGGCCTAACTGCGAGATAGGATAAAAATACTACAAAATGTTTCATGTGTTCAAAATGTGCTTATCCCCTGCGCCAAAATCCCCTGCATATCACATACAGTCTCCCAGAATAACTTGATTGCTCTATGAAAGAATCTCCTCTTTTCCCTTCAGGTTTCAGACCCCTGGGACACTTTTGCTCCATGAACTTTTTTTTAAGAATTTTTTTGCCTTAGGACTTGTGTGTTCACTGGAGAGACAGAGACTGTGGGAGGGAA